AGGTACAGACTGGCAGCAGCTTTCTCTACTGAATAAGTCAGCAGTACAATTGTTGAAGGCCTACCGGATTATTTCAGTTCTTATTCTGCTTAGTCAATTGACCTTACGTATTGGTCTCTCCTGTTCATAATTAGATCTACACTTTTCAATTAAATGGGAAGAAAAAAGGAAATATTTTAGAAGTTTCTAGGTGAAATGCATGAGGAAATACTTGCATTGGAAGTTGGAAGACCTTTGAGAACTACATCAATGTTTCCTGGCTTGTGTGTTTAAAATCTTAACTATAAACTAACTTCTGTAAAGGCAGAAGTATTTGCACTTGGTTTATCCACAGTCTGTATTGCCAATAATTTCTGAAAACTGTTTATTCTCTTTTTAACAAGGTTTATTGATGTCTGCAATCACAGTCATTATCCTTGTGTTATATTTTGTAATTGATACCTTCTGGGTTCAGAAGAGACCTTGGCTTGCTGAATGTACACCAATTTATATTCAGTATTTTGTGAAGTTCTTCATTATTGGAGTTACAGTCTTGGTGGTGGCGGTACCAGAAGGTCTTCCACTTGCAGTCACTATATCTCTAGCTTACTCTGTTAAGGTAAGTGGATAGATAGGGAACAGATCTCAAAGGTGGGTGGGTGTATTCATCAGTTGTAAAACCTCAGCTGAGATATGCTGCATCATATATATGTAACAGATTGGGAAGAAACTGTTCTTGTTTCCCTGAACTGCATAAGAAAGCCACCCCAGTATTTTTCTTGAGCTCTGAATATGCACTAACATGAACAGTGACCAATGACAGTCTGTTGTCACCGACTAAAGATGAATGGGTTTAGCTCGTAACATTGTAGCACTTAAAAAAAAAATAGATGTGTTAGAGTTTGTAAATACCAAACTCTTCTGTAAACCTGAACTTCTACCTAACTGATGTGTTAAGCAGCTAGTACAAAAGATTCCAGATTGATTCTCCTTGAGGACTGAATATTGTAGAACATAGAGCTTTCTATTTACTATACAGCATGGTTTTTAACTCATGCTCTTTGTTCTCTTAATTTTCTTATCACTTCAGCATGCTTGGACTGGTTATTGATCTGAATATCTAATTGTAAAGACAATGGCCGTTTAGGCTGCGTTCTAAAACTTAGTAACTTACAATACTAAGGCCACTACTAGTTAGTAGTGTATCATTTGAAGTTACTCTGCCTCTTAAAGGTTAAAATACTATCCAAACCTGTTAAGTAGAGAATTTAAAATGATGTTTGACCTATGAAATTTGTGTAATCCTCACTAGCATAGCTGAAACATTAGGCTCCCAGTTTGTATTTGATTTTAAGTCTGACTCTAGTGTCTTTGAAACGTCTATCATCTGGTGTTCGGATGAGTCTGTAACATAGCTTACTTGATCTTTCTTGTAAGCAGAAAGACTTTTTCTAATGTTGTATCTAGTAAAGCTCAGTCTGTACCTCTCCTCTATTTCTAAGTAGCATCATAAACTATTTGCTCGTAACAGTCTGACTAGTATGAGTAGTCAGTGTGGCATGCAGGTATAGGAGATTAAGACTGTATTTATGAACCTTGTTCAAAATGAAGTTTACTGTGACATGATAGACTTAAAGGAATCCTTACAGAATGTGGCAGCTACAAATTTTTCCTTTGTAAGATGCCAGATAACTTAAAGGCTGAGTGTCTTCTGAAACTGCTGTGTAAGACTGCACACCCTAAATGAGAATTTCTGAAATGTGAAGTAATGGTCATGGCTAGCTGTTGACTTATTTTATTTCCTTAGAAAATGATGAAAGATAATAACTTGGTGAGACATCTGGATGCATGTGAAACAATGGGCAATGCAACAGCTATTTGCTCAGATAAAACGGGAACATTGACCATGAACAGAATGACAGTGGTCCAAGCCTACATCAATGAAAAACATTATAAAAAAATTCCAGAACCAGAAACTATTCCAGAGAAAACTATGGCTTACCTTGTGACAGGAATTTCTGTTAATTGTGCTTATACTTCCAAAATACTGGTAAGTGGAGTTCTTCATTCTAATCAAGGTAACTAAACAACTTCCTCAAAAGATGCAAATTGTCTGGTGGCCATATGGTAGGCAGTTAAGTGTAAGTGTGTGGCAAAATGCAGTGTAAGGTGTTTTGTACCTGCTGTAAATTACTCAACAGTTCATTTGAGACTAAATTTCAAAAATAGCTTGTTTCAGTTAGAACTGATAATTCAAAGACACAATCTCAGGAAGATAACTTCCTTTAAATTCACAGTTGTGTCTAAATTTGTTTTATATGGGGGGGCTGTTTACCTTACTTGAAGAGCATCTTGGCTTGATTTGAGTGCTACTTCAAAGTAAACATGTAAAAGTAGCGTAACATTAGCTAGAATGTAATGAGAAAATGCAAGTACAGATGAGGATTTTGACGGGGGTTTATTCCAGATACTATTGTATAACATCTTTGCTCGTACCTTGTTTGAGACTTCCAAAATATTTTGAATTAGAAAGAATAATGGACTGTTACACATTATAAATACTGGACTATTTTAGCACTTTTGTGTGCATCATTTTCTGCAACTCTGAACATAACTTCCCTGCTGTAGTTATTCCAACATGTTGCATAACTTATATTCCTTAAGGCAACAAAAACAATAATTAGGATTTAGCTTTAAAAAAATAAATAAATTAGCACTTCAAGATTTAGTAGAAGCCTCCACTATGAATGCTTTGTACAGGAATAGCAGTAAAAACCCAGTCCAAAAGCTACTTTTCAGCCAATAAAGATGGTACCTCTGCAAGAATTTCCTCAATAGCCATACTTGAGGCAGCACATCAAGATCATCAGCACCGATTTCTCTGAAACAAGACTGAAATACTACTAATGAGTTATAGCTTGTGAGGAGTTTCACAGTCTATTTTCTAAAGACCTTTTTATGGGGGGGTGGGGTGGGTGGGAATTAGCTGCAGGTAAACTGAGCAGGTCCCTTACTACTACAGTTTTAATCAAATTTTATCCAATGCAGTCAGAGTTAGTCTGTTATACAAAATTACAGAAGGTTGAAAGGGACCTCTTGAGATCATCTGGCTCAATTCCCCTGCTCAAAGCAGGGCCAGCCAGCTCACACTGCTCAGGCCTATGTCCAGCCAGGCTTTGAGAATCTCAAAGGATGGGGAGTCTGCAACTTCTGGGCAACCTGATCAAGTACTTGATCACCCTTAGAGTAAAAAGGTGTTTCCTTATGTTCAAATGGAATTTCAGAGTTCCAGTTTGTACCCATTGCCTGTTGTGCTCTTACTGGGTACCACTAAGAAGTCTGGCTTGGCAGTCTTTACCATTGCTCTACCTGCCTGCCCTGTTCAGTCTTTTAATAAACACTGATAAGTTTCTTCCCCAGAGCCTTCTCTTCTCCTGGCTGAACAGTCCCAGCTCTCTCAGCCTCTCCTCATATGTCAGGCGCCCCAGTCCCTTTATCATCTTTGCAGCCCATGGCTGGATGTTCATGTGTCTTGTACTGGGGAGCCCAGAACTGGACATCTTAAAGTACACATTAAAGTGAACATTTTGAAAGTGTGAGCAAGTCCAAGATCTTGCAGCTCTGAACAATGAAAATGGATCACTGACTTATGATTAATATAGTTCCGCTCTAGCTCTTTGGGGCATGTCAGGCTGAGTAAGTGCTTCTGCCTTTTTATGCTACTAACTACACTGCAATGTTATAGCTATATAAGCTCAGAAATATCTTGAGAGAAATACTCCTTTACTTATAGCGCTAGTACGTGCATAGTCCACATTGCTGAGATAAGAAACTTGTCTGGTATTAAAGGGTTGGAAACTTGTTTCTGAACTCTTTCCAATTAAATAGGCCTGGAAAACAGAATTTGTAGTGAGACTTAAGAAACTTAAAGACTTAGTTTATCCAGTAGAAGGCTAACAGGTGATGTGATCATAGTCTAAGTCATTGAGGAAGAGTTATTACAGGAGAGGATACTTTAATTTAGCAGAAATAATGCCATTTAGCTTGCTTAAATCAGTTTACTTAAACTTATCTGTACTTTTAAAATGCAAAATAATTATTTCAGGGATTACACTCAGTTGATCAGATAGATATGTCAAGCAATGGAAAATGCCTTTTAGGAGGGTCTTGTTGGGATTTGATACAAACTTAATGGGTGATTTTTGAGTCTGAGAAAGGGACTTAAAAACCCTAAACAGGTACAGAAGTTACTTATGAAAGCCAGCAGTATGACTTTGGCTCACGACTCATAGGAGTTTATAGAGTAATAGTTGCAAAAGTGAAACCGCCATCCCAGAGATAAGCTTGGCCTTAGCTTCCTTGTTTTCTAAATGCTGTACTTCAGTGGTTCATAAGTTAACCTTCTAATCAGCAAAGGTTCTTGTTGTTCTTGCAGCCTCCTGAAAAAGAAGGTGGCCTACCACGTCATGTTGGAAATAAAACTGAATGTGCCTTGCTGGGATTGCTCTTGGATTTAAAACGTGATTATCAGGATGTAAGAAATGAGATACCAGAAGAGGATTTGTACAAAGTGTACACCTTCAATTCTGTTAGAAAATCTATGAGTACTGTGTTAAAAAACTCCGATGGCAGTTTCCGGATATTCAGTAAAGGTGCCTCTGAGATAGTTCTTAAAAAGTAAGAGCAACTACTATTGTACTTCAGCACTTAAATTTGGCTAAATGTTGTGATAGGTGAGGAGACTGAAGTGCTAAACAACATTGTGCCGTAGCCTGAGAAATATTTGTCACCCTATTCACAAACAAGTGCAGCAGTCTTATATCCTTGTGACTGCAGCCAGCTTCCCTGCTTCTCTCCCTCAGTTGTTTGACTTTCTACAGTAAGATGGACAATTAGCACTTCTGTTACTACAATTCTCACACCCTACCCCCCAAAAAAAAGAGCTGGTCGTGATTAATTTTAACTTGTGAACTCTGCTCTGATACAGGAAAGTGTCTATGAATTGACCTATTCTCTAGTTAACCTATTATAGTTTCAGGTGTGGTTGTTCAAAATGCTCACCCATCTTCCAGTAAAGTCCGAACAGCTGATATGCCTAAATTCCAGAAAGGACTTGTGCCTTTGAAAAGTGATTACTTTTAAGATTACTTTCAGCTTCAAAAGACTGTGCAAGTTGGTGTCCAAGTTGATCATTTTACCAGGAGGTTGAACTTGGCCAATAGAGAAACTTGAGGTTTTTTAATGTGACAAAGCAAATTGCTTCCTTATGCATCTGCCCATCTATAGAGGATTTATTAGAATGAGATTAGACTATTAGTGAGAGATTAGTCACCACTGGCATAAACCTTTAGATGTGAAGAAGACCATGGTAACTCCTAACTCTCTGAGGAGAGAAGTCAAGCATGTATGCATCATGTTCTTTAGGAACAGCAGCTGTAGCCAGTCTGGCTTTGGTTCTGATGTCAGACTATTTCTAGTCTGAGGAGTGCATAGATTATGTTCATCAGTTCAGCTTACCTTTTTGCTTGCTACTAGCCCCCCCAAATCATTATCTAGGAAAGTACTAATGCAGTAAAGAAAAAAGATGAAATGTTCCTTCTCCTCAATTTAGTGCTGACAACAAAAGGTCAATCTTTAAAGGACTCTTGTTCCTTTTGATATGGAACTTAGATTTACATGTGAATTTTTTTCATAGCTAGATTTTAAGCCAAGTCTCATCAGTGAATAAGTATGCCTATATTTGCATTCCTTCTACCTGCAGAAGTATTTTGTACCTTATTATCTCATTGAGCAACTGAACTGTAGAAATTGCTAAAACTCATTCAGCCCAGACTCATGTGGTCCACTTGGCTTCATAACTGAGATAAGAAAATAAATAGTAAGGACATTGGGCAAAGAATAAGAAAACCTAGACTGATTTGGCTACTACTGGAATAGCTGTAATTCCAAAACTATTTCAGAGTATGTATGGACTAGCAAAAAGCCTTAGGATCATAAGCCACTTTCTTTACCCACTTACCTATGCAGTGCCAGAAATTAATCTCGGGGCTTGTAACCTGGTTTGTCAATTGTGCTCACATGTATGACTCTTCTTGATCACTGAAAGCTTTAACATGAATATTTATGACACAAATGAGTCGCTAATAAGTGTAGAAGAAATGCAGCAAACTTTTTCAAGCAGAGCAGCTTCTTCTTCTTTCCTTACCATCAAGTCAAATACTTGAAGTGCATTTCAAATAAATCTTTACATAAAGCTTATTGGCTTCTATTTAATTGTCTTGGAATGCTTTGAATTTATCACAAGCCCTGTGATTGCAGCTAACACAAGATATCCTTAGTGGTTGCTGACATTTGAACAGAAAACCAAAATCAGGAAATTCGGGTAGACATCAAATTTCAGTTATGATTAATACTATGAAGCTTTAAGGGACTGCTTTGTTTTCATTTCCTGGCTGAGGTGGAAACTTTTTTTATACGTATTGCACCTGGGAATTCCCTAAACCCTTGGACTAAATACTTAAATATAATCGTAGTAATTTTAGCAGATCTTCCAGGTGTGAACTTGATATTTTTAAAAAGGTCATAAATTCTTATCTTTTTTTCAGTGCCACATTAGTACTAATTTGTAGAACAAATGCTTATGGCGTTGCTTTATGGCAAAACTTTGCTAAAGATGCAGATGAACAAGACTAAATTTATTGTTCAAAATATTTGGTAGTGTTATGTTCATGGCATCAATATTGGTAAAGTATGTATGCTGTCTATGAAAGCAGTGGCATCTTTGGTATGAAGGAACATAACTAAAAGAGCGTGTGTTGAAATGTTAGAGTACATAGTGTCGAATCTAGTCTCTTTTACAAATATTTAAATCAGACTTAAGTATTTGTTCTTCATTTAATACTTCACATTAAGAACTCTATGCCAGATGCTCTCTGAATTCTCTGCACTTAGATTGGGGGGTGGGGGCAGGAGGCAAACCTTACTACTCTTAAGGATAGCATTGGCTCATCACAGTACCACAATTTGCTTTTAGTGCTGTAAGTTTAGTGCTTACAGCTGTTTAAGCACCACGTGCATGTTCTGAAACACATTGTACTTCTGAGACTTGTATAACTGTTAACAAGGTGGGATTATTTTGTTGAACTTGAAACTGGATTGACTGACTCAACCAGCACAGACAGTAGTCTGTTTACCTACAGTGGAGAAATGGATGCTTCTGGGAGGTAACTAATATTTGTGTCCTAAATTCATTGGGCACTATTTTCATCCTAGGATGACTGGCTCAGTTAACTTTCTACACCTAGTATGTTTTGCAATTGGGAAGAGATTAAGTGCATATGGAGAGGATTACCTTAGTGACGCTGCTACTGGCTGCTTTGTGTGTGTGTCTAGCAAAAACAAAGCTTGTGGAAACTTATTGGAGTTGACTAATAAGCCATTGAGTGGGCTGAACTTATGGTTAAAATTTGATAACTCTTTAAACCTTCCTTTTCAGGTGCTTCAAAATACTGAGTGCTAATGGAGAACCAAAGGTATTTAGACCTAGGGACCGTGATGATATTGTGAAAACTGTAATTGAGCCAATGGCTTCTGAAGGGCTCAGAACCATCTGCCTGGCATTCAGAGACTTCCCAGCAGGGGAACCTGAGCCAGAATGGGACAATGAAAATGACATTGTTACTGGTCTGACGTGCATTGCGGTTGTTGGGATTGAAGATCCTGTGAGACCTGAGGTAGGGTCACTGACTAAACTGCAGTGATTGTGTTACAACAGATCTTGATTCATGTTGTTGGTGGTCATGCAGCGAGTACAAGGAACTGAATTGCTATTGTATGCCTTAAGCGTAGTTGATAAATGAAAATCTAATTTCTTGGGGAGAAAGTTAATGGAGCTATAAAAGCAGATTAAAACTTCTTAATGTCACTTATGCTGTGTTACTGAAGCTCTGTACAAACTAATGACTTAAGGCGCTTACTGTGCAGGGTCTCAGTAGATGGAACAACTTGTCATCATTTTTTTACCACTTGGAATATTAGGAGTATTGTTTAGGATAATATTAGCCATTGTGCTTGTTGACAGCTGCTTATGGGGAATGATGGAAAGGAGGGTTTGTCACCTGAGAACTGTGGTAAGGAGTCTGGCTTGTGGGTGAGGTCTAAGGAGGGCAGTATTTTTGAACAGTGAAAGCTTTTATGCTACATATAAGTTGAACTCCAGTCTGATCTGTGCTATCCTGACTTCACACTAAAAGTCATAGGTGAAGTAGTGGAGTGTGAGCTGTAGTTTATTTCACATAATCATAAATGAAACCCCAGTATTCAGTACCTTTGAATACTACAGCCTAATATGTCATGAGGATTTTTGTGGTATTTTTGAATACTGCAGTTTTTGAAAAACGAAGGGAGGAGGGAGGGGACATGACATAACAACAAAGCCCCTTTGCCAGAATTGCCTGTGTTTTTCAGGAGAAGAATTGCGGTAAGCTACTTGATTTTTTGTTTGTTTGGTGTTTTTAAATGTTCCATAACAACAGTCTTGATTTTAAAGTAAGAGTTATCCTGGATTAAGCCAAAAACATTCCTTTCACTCACATGTCTAGATTTATTCAGCTAACATACAGTCTCTGAGCCTGTGGGGTGTTTTGTTTTGGTTTTTTTTTGCTTATAGGTACCTGATGCAATAAAAAAGTGTCAACGTGCAGGCATAACTGTACGTATGGTCACTGGCGATAACATTAACACAGCTCGTGCTATTGCATTAAAATGTGGTATTCTGAATCCTGGTGAAGACTTCCTGTGTTTAGAGGGCAAAGATTTTAACAGGAGAATACGCAATGAAAAAGGAGAGGTAAGCATACTGACTATGTAAAGTAGATCAGCAGATATTCTGTGTCTCCTAACTGTAGAATATAACCAATGCTCTTTTTGCAGATAGAGCAAGAGCGAATAGATAAAATTTGGCCAAAGCTTCGTGTTCTTGCAAGATCTTCTCCCACTGACAAACACACTCTAGTAAAAGGTAAGTAAAAACTATGTGAGTTTCTACGTAAAGCTAGATGATTTTTTTCTGCTTCTAGAAAAAAATCTAGTACTGAGCAGTGGGAAATGCCTATGAGGGTGTCTTCATTTGCCAGCTGATTCCCCACCACCCATCCTTGCTTGAGAAATGGAGCCAACTAGAACTATCTGTTGTGATTTTTTTTTTTTTTTTTTAATATGCCTTTGAGGAAGACAAAAACTGTGCTTCTCTTTCAGGTTTAATCTGTGCTGTGTAGTCAGTTTTGAACTGTAACACCAAAATATCACTTTATTTTAGGTATAATTGACAGCACTGTCTTTGAACAGAGGCAAGTTGTAGCAGTAACTGGTGATGGTACCAATGATGGTCCAGCCCTGAAGAAGGCAGATGTTGGATTTGCTATGGTATGTTTGGGGGAGGTTTTTTGGGGGTGTTTCTTTGGGGTTTTTTTGGTTTGTTTTGGGTTTGTTTGGTTTTTTTAAATCTTCAGTACATTGAAGACCTATTTTGATAAAATAACTTATCAAATCACTTGACGATTAAACAACCTTGCTTGTTTCATGAGTCTAATATGCAACTAAGTTAATGGAGTCGTCATCTCTAACATTTAATTTTCCCCCTCCCTCAGTCTTCCAACTTAACCATGTTTTTATTTGATGGAAAATATCCTTGTGGCATTTGCCATTGAAAAACACTTGAAAAATGCAGATCCCCAGTCACTTGCAAATCAAAACCTTTTTACACAAAGGCTTGTTGCAAAATGTAGGAATAGAATTACTGATATTATTGAAGACTTCCGAAATGAGATCTGTTCAACATAAGGCAAAATGAGTTTAGGTGGTAAACAGCATACTATGTTGACTTTGAGTAAAGCTTATATGCAGTATGGAATGAGCTTATTCATCTGTTTTCCATGAAATGACGCACAGGAGCTGGGAGACTATAATGAGAGACACTGCCAGTTGATGTTTAAAATGGCTTTGGAGGCTATACTAAGAGACATCTCTAGTGCAACTGAAGTAACAGCATTTTATGATAATCTAGGATCTACATTTGTCTGTGTGGTTCCTTAGATTACTTGGCTTTCTCAATTTAAATTGTCAGCTACCCTTTCAAATGGTAGCCAAACCAAGTCTTGGCCTTAAGTGCTAATACTAGATAGACTCATGCCTTAAGCATGTGGGCTTTGGCTTTCTTCTGTCTCTTTCAAAACACTGTAAGATAGATTCCTCAAGCTTCCTCTTGCCTCAAGATTCCTCTTCAGTCTGAAGCTGACAAGGTACAATTTGGTGCTAGTAGTTCACTTTAGTCTTTAAAAACTCATTATTAAGCATTTGAAAGAGAAAAAAAAAAGACGACCACACTCCTCCTATACCACATGCAGATGCACTGACCCATGTGCTAATTTGAAGGAAAAAAAATGGGAAAAGGAAAAGTTTTCATGTCATTCTCAAGGAGTATTTTTCAAAATCATAACTTACAAATTTGATAGCCACACATGAAATGTTCTGTAGACTGCAACAGTCTTGTTTTAACGAGTATCTGTTTTCTGCTATTGTATAGCTGCTGTAGTTGGCACTGTCAGGGGCAGATTTATTTTCATCTTCTAGAACTTAAATGTTTCCTGCAGTTGCTGCCTATGTTCATCTGTGTAAGAAACTTAATTTCTCTAACTGCTTACCTAAACAGCACTTAAAATATACCACCTACTATATGATATTTAAAGGTACCTTTTGAGGTGTACACATAGCTGTGCAGGTGACTCATTTCATTGGCAAAATAATGTATCAAGGATAAGGATCATTAAATTTGCTACTGAGTTAGTGGTTTTGAAATGCTGAAAGCAAAATAAATATCCTTGAAGTAGGTATTACACAGAACTCAGCTTAACTGTTTGGATACTGTAGGAGACTACAAGTGCTTAAAACTTAAGAATGTCATATTACATACTCTGCTGTTTAATGCCAATGCTCTTCTGCAAAAGGCTTTTGGTAATGTGTATCATTCTACTTTGTAATGGACTGGATGATCTTAAAGGTCTTTTCCAACCTAAATGATTCTATGATTCTATTAACACATGCATTGCCCTACTTCTGAAATCCATGTAGCAAACGCGTTAGGACATGGACTAAACTGTAGTACTGCACCATCTGGTGGCCTTTACCTTGAACAGAGTTCATTAACATTTCTTTGGGAGAACTTGCACAGTGTCTTTATCATCAACTTGAGGATTTTTATTAAGGTCTTTTTTTAAAGACAACATTACCTTTTTTGTTGTTGTTTACATTTTCCCACGCTTGAGTAGAACTTGCAAGCAGAACTTGATTCAGTAGAACTTTAGGTGCTTACATTAAAACAGTCCTTCAGATATGGTGCATCAAAGTGAATGCTGACGAAGGATATAATAATAGCTTCTATTACATAAGTCAGTGCATCCTGTTATATTTCATAGTGTTTTTCTTTTTCTACCAGGGTATTGCTGGAACAGACGTAGCTAAAGAAGCTTCTGATATTATCCTTACAGACGACAACTTCACAAGTATTGTTAAAGCAGTTATGTGGGGACGAAACGTGTATGACAGTATCTCCAAATTTCTTCAGTTCCAGCTTACTGTCAATGTAGTAGCAGTAATTGTTGCTTTTACAGGAGCATGCATAACACAAGTACGTACTGGTGGTGGATTCTTTCAGCTAATAAAGGTTGAAAATGTCATGACTGATTAACTCTTGAATTCAAACTTTCAGTTAAATACTAGACCAAAGAACGTAATGCTCTTCAGAACATGCCCATGTTGTATAATAAATGGCTTTAATAGCTGCAGTTTGTTCACTTATATTGGAGGGTTTATGTATCTATCTTTATAGGATTCTCCGCTTAAAGCTGTGCAGATGCTGTGGGTAAATCTTATAATGGACACATTAGCTTCTCTTGCCTTGGCAACAGAACCACCCACTGAAGCTCTTCTGTTGCGAAAGCCTTATGGTAGAAACAAACCTTTGATTTCTCGTACAATGATGAAGAACATTTTGGGTCATGCTTTCTACCAACTCGTAGTGGTCTTCACACTCCTGTTTGCTGGTAAGAATACTGAGGCTTTACAAAGTTATTCTAAAAGTTGTACAGAGATGTGATCTTAAGACTTGTTTTATGTTGTAGTGTGTGCGTAAAGACACCAATTAAGTTGCTGATAAATGCCTTTTATACACAGGTGAGAAAATTTTTGATATCGATAGTGGAAGAAATGCACCTCTGCATGCTCCTCCTTCAGAGCATTATACTATTGTATTTAATACATTTGTGATGATGCAGCTTTTTAATGAAATTAATGCCCGAAAAATTCATGGTGAAAGAAACGTTTTTGAAGGAATCTTTAACAACGCTATCTTCTGTTCTATTGTTCTGGGGACGTTTGTTGTGCAGGTAAGTAAATTCTTGGAGGGTGGGGGGAAAATGCACTTAGTACACTGATGTACTTGCTTACCTTGGAAATGCTAATCAACCAGTGCCAGGTATTTCATTTCTGCAATGTGAAAAACCTTCAGTGTCAAACATGCTATAAATCACTTGGAAGTGCTGCTTGACAGGGTTTTCAGGTAAGACCTCTTTGGTAAAATTGGAATGGAGTAGTACTTGTATTTACCTTTTAAATTTTTCAGTCGTTCAGTTTGATCTTAGTGTTCTAGGCTCTTGACAAAATGTGAAGAAGTTATATGTTCCGCCCCCCAAGTCAGAACTCTTCCTCATGGTGTCTGCCTGTGCATCTGAACAAGAGCCCATTTAAACAATTTATATAAAAGTTACATTAATAAGACTAGGACATGAATAAGCTTTAGAAACTTAAGTATCAGTTTTTATCTTCCTGATGCAGAAATCAGTTATCTGCATCAGTATGTATTTTACAGTTATCTGTATAGGTGCTACTGTTTTAGGTGAAAAACACTGATGTCTACAGACCTTCTGTTGGTGCATCGAGGCAGATTTGTAAAAGCTAGTTAGTTTACTCAGTATCTGCTACCAAATGAAATGAAATTATCTGAAATTGATTGGGTTAACACACTGGTCTTGAGAAACACCAAGTCAAAATTGAATCTAAAAAAAATAGTTTATAAGAAATAGTTTCACTTTCTAAATGGCCTTAACTTTTAATTCATCAGAAGAAATAACCCACAAATCAGTATACTACTTTTTTTTAAGAATGCTTTTTCATTTTGACTTAAGTTATTTCAGACTTAGGATATAACCTACACCTTAAGCTTCTCCTTAGACTTGCGATTCCATGAAGTTGACCAAACTCATAGTGGTTCAAGCAATGCAAATGTATGAACCTCTGCTTCACATAAAGTTAGTTCACTTATTCTCACAGGCTTAGGTTTTTTTTTAGATGACGCTTCTTCAGAAGCTGCTCCTATTTTTAGGGTTGCATATGCAGCAGACTGTTGTGCAACAAAACCAGATATGTAGAAATTACACCTGACTACAACTGTGTTCCCTTTATAAACTTGGCAGACTGAACGCCTTCCCAGATAAGTAACTCCTGAGTTGTGGTCTCAGTGTTTTATTCTGTGCTAATAAAAGAAGATACTTTTGGGCTTTTCAGCTGCCGGGTGTCCTACTTAATGGTCAATACTGTTTCATTTTCATGCCTGCCCTGCTACTTGAATTGTTGATTCTCCAGGGCAGACTTTCATGCGTATAATTCCTGTGCAGAGGGATACCTTGCTCATTAGGGCCTGTACAGCTTCTTGTAATAGGTAGGTCAGTAGGAGCTCATTTAGGTTTTGAGATCTCTGCCCCTGCCCCCGCAAGACTTACTACATTGATGTCACACCATGATGACTTGAAGTCTGACATTTAACACTGATGGGATATAGTAATATTTTGTTGAATTATTTCTGAAATATTTCATGTCCTGTAGATCTATGACTTGTATTAATACAAGTTTATTAATCAACTTGGTTCTGAGATGGGTTTTCATATGATAAATAATCGCTGTAAATTTGTAGCATTGAATACATGCTGTAATTGTGAAATGAAGGGAAAGAACTGCAAGCAAAGTGAAGTAGTCAACAGGTCTTTGAGTGTGACATTTGAAGAACAAATGGGTAGCTCTTGAAATACTGAAAAGCATAAGATGGCTTGGGTTTGGAAACTTGCTTGAACTGCTGAGACAGTGGAAGTGTATGCTTAATAAGATGGGAAATCCTGTGTTCTAATGCAGAGTTGTCTGCAGTGCTCTTGAAGCATTAGGGAATTTTCTAGTAACAGGTTATTGATACATGTTGTTTAATGATGTTGCTCTTTACAGATAATTATTGTGCAGTTTGGTGGGAAGCCTTTCAGTTGCTCAGAACTCTCAATTGAACAATGGCTGTGGTCCATTTTCCTGGGCATGGGAACACTACTCTGGGGCCAGGTAAACTAGCTTTTTCAAAATGCCAAATATCTACTTGCAATAGAATACTTTACATGGAAAATACAAATACACTATCTTTAGCATTCAGATCTTTCAAGTGGACTATATGAATATATGGAGATTAACAGTAAATATTGATTAAAATTGACTAGTTCAATAGCTAGAAAATTGGTAGTTGGATATTACTCTGATTTGGTCAACTAGTTACATTTCATAACTAGATGCTGTGACTGGTGTATGTTCAGTAACTTTTAACTAGAAGCAGCTGTGGTTACCTTTTCAATATGAAATTGTGTCTTTAGCCAGGTAAGTACTAGAAGAAGTTCTGTAAGAAATACAGATGCAAGGAACATGTTAATGTTGAAATATATTTAATTTAGTGTTGAATGGTTTTCTTGAAAAATCAGAATTGTTAAACTTGCTAGTATTTTCTTGATTTAAAAACTTCCTGGAGTAGCAAGAAATGCAGCAAAACTCAAAACAACTTTCTCCTTAATATTCATTTGCATAATTATGAAATAATGGGAAAGTTCCCCCACCT